ACTTATTTCTCACATAGAGTCTCTCGAGGCTCTAGTTTCTCTAGCTTCTTTGCTCCGAGATATCTCGAACTGCAATCTAGGCCCTCCTACCTCACTTCTTCCCTCCTTTACCTCTGCAAATTATCCCATTTGGTCCTACTAGTCTAGTGCTAATATTTTGAGCTGCTAGACTTCGATCTTAAGGATGCATCTTTCTTTGATTATTTATTCCTCATGATGCCCCATATTTCTCCTGGGACAACTCAACTCCCCGACACTTGTCCAGTGCTAGTCGTTGACATTGGTCCCGTCGGTGGTTCCACTAGTCCCGGTGCCACTTTGTGATTATTTTTCTTTGAGTCCACGTGGTCCCCGACACCACTCCCCATGTTGTCTCAATTTTATTTGGGACTCCCTAGTACCAGACAGTCCCAATTTCCTCCTCCCGATGCATCCAAGTGTGTTGAATATTCTTAGCCGCATGATCTTGATCTCGCGGTCACCATTCACCACCGCAATTGGCTCCCATGCTTGAGACTTTTTTTTTCAATGTCGTGAGGGCGTCAAGGCTTATTTTTCCTTGGCCCTGACACACGTCCTTGTCGTCCCTTAAATCTCAGAGTGTAATGATGATCATTTTCCTAGTCCCATTGCCCCCACACTTGCCTCAAACTAAAACAAAATGGAGCGGTACATCCCCAAGTGCATCCGAAACCAATATTGGTTCCGAATGTACTTGAAACATGTGTTTGCTTTACTTTCTGTGATCCGTTGCATCACGACCTACTTCCCTCTTCCTTTATCTTGATTTTCTCTTTAAAAATAAAAAAAACTCAATGCATTTTGTAACCGTTTCATCCTAGGATGAATTTGGTCATAAAATATACCTAAAACATGTGTTTTCTTTTGTTTTAGGTGTCCGTTTTTGTGTGTTTTGTTCCAACTGCATCTAGACTTGATGCAGTCATGTTCAAGGCACCTAAACCTCTGTTGTGGAGGGCCAAGCTGGCCATGATGTGGCGGCTTGCCCTTTTTCGACTCCTACACTCTCCTACCTCTCTCATTCTCCCTCTACGCCCTTTTCCCCTCACCTTTGCTGACCGTTTTATCTCGGACCACATTAGAACCTCATTTTTCAGGTTCAGTGTACTTGGGCACTCCACAATTAAAACCCTTGTGATCCATTGCATCCCTTTTGAGTCCCTTCTTAATTACAAGGCCTAGAAGTCTCGAAAGCGAGGCTCTCCCTCTCTTTTTTAGCCTTCTGCATTTTGGCTTCAAAGGGCCACTTATTTTTCAAATTGCCCGTGCTTGGGCACTTGTTTAGATGGCAGCTACTAGTACTTTTGCACCCTCCTTGCTTGGTTCCATGACCCTTAGGCTTTTCTCATGCCGTTTTCAGGTGGCCTTCTAGGCCACATGTGACAACCTCATGTGTCGATACTAAGACGTTATTTTCTTTGGTGTCGTCGTCCCCCTTTTTCCTGTGGTACTAGCACCTAGTATTATTTTCTTGGTGGTCCTCCTCCTCCAAGAAGGGGGGCCGCCTTAACTAATTTCCTACAGCACTTTGCTAGCTGCGACTTCACGGTCCATTCCCAATTTTAAGGCTCTGGCGGTCCCGAGTCCCATCTTGGGTCCTTGGTAGTGGTAATCCCATTTTAATCCTTCACCTACTTTTTTCCTTCTCTCTTTGCCTCCTCATTCCCGATTCCTCGGTTGTGCACATCTTAGCCATGTATCATATCTCAAGGGCCGGGACTTGATTCGGGAACCAAAGGTCCCGACATATTCCCCCCACTCATTCGCGATGTCCTCATCTCGCACTATTCTGTTGTTGATAGGGGAGGGAGCTAGTTGGTGGGATAGATAGGGGAGAAGGAGCGATATGTGATAGGTAGCTAGTTTCCAGGGTCTCCTTAGTCTCCGCTCATTGGGGTGGAGAAGGATGAGTTGTAGGGTTATGTTCTCTTCAAGAGCCCCTTTCAAGCTCCTTTTGTGTCGTTCATCACCCGTAGTACATCGTTTTCACTCTGTTATTTGGCCCATGCAATCCATGTTCCTTTCCTGAGGACTGCCATCCCTAGTGTGACGGGGCTGGGGCAGGGCAGCGAGGTCGGGGAAGAGAGAGGGAGGGAGTGAGAGCATGCACACACACTCACTCGGCTCGATGTGGACTCGACACGACTCGATGGACGCAGACACAAAGTGGCAAAGTGGCAAAGTCGCAATCTTGATTGTGAACCCAATATCGCAGCAAGTCACACTGAAGCACAAGCATTGAGGCCGCGAATTGAATGGTCGAACTCAGCTTGAGTTCGGTCTTAAGTACCGGACTCAAGTTGAGTCCGAGGGCAGAAGTGCAATTGGCCTCGGGGTTAACGGAAAATTGAAGGTTTGAGCCCGAACGCTAGAATGTCGGATGGCGCCAAGTATCGAAATTCGAAAGTGCCAGAGGCGGGATTTGAGAACGGGCACCAACTGCAGAGGGCGCCAACAGTCAGGAATCGAGATCAGGGACTCGAAAAAAAATGGAACAGCAGCCTGGCGGGTGGTAACCCGTGACCCATGGATCGAGCCCTGGCCGAGTCCGTTACACTGTCCCCTCCCTCTAGAAGGCAACTTGCGGGCTGCCAAAGACCCAATGAACAACTGAGAAGGACAGGATGGGGCCGATCACTGGTCAGGAGAGGAAACGGGAAGTAATGCGAGTAGCAGTGTAATCCTATGGAGGTTCGACAGGGGTGAGGGAATCAATGCTTAAGTAACAGGGTAATCCTAGTGAGGTTCTACAAGGATGAGGGAATCAATGCTCAAGTAACAAGACTCCATTCTACCTCGACCTTGGCTATCATCTGCGCTTGCCCTCCGACTTCCTGCTCCCCTCGCAACTCAACCCCTCCATCCCCTGCCCCTCTCTCAATGAATGGGTAACAACAATGAACAGACTCCTCAGAGAACCTACCGAAGCCCTTGAACGAACACAAGAACAACAAGTCAACAAGACTAACAAACACAGACGTGATGTATCATTCAAAGTAGGGGACAAAGTCTGGCTCTCCACCAAACGCTTTGAACCCGAACACGACTTGTCGAAGAAACTCTCGAACAAGTGGCTCGGACCCTTTCCCGTCATTGAACAAACCTCCCCCGTCAACTACAAACTCCAACTTCCACCTGACATGAGGCGCGTCCACCCTGTCTTCCACGTAGAATACCTAAAAGAATACCATGAATCCCCACCCCAATTCGCTGACCGCCCTTACCCCAGACCTCCACCGATCATGTTCCCCACAGGCCCAGAATTCGTAGTAGAATCCATCATAGGTCGGCAAACCACACAAGTATCAGACCATCCGGAACCAATCATAGAATACAAAGTTAAATGGACTGGATACCCTGACGAAGAATCCACATGGGAACCACTTCCTAACCTTAAGAATGTTATGAAACTTGTTCGCGCCTATGATCGTGCTCACCCTATATCCTAGATATGTAATATAACTTAAACCCTAAACCCTTGCATAAACCCCGCCTTGACCCCGCCAAAACCCCGCATTCCTGCTCTACACACACCCCTGTACCCAGCAAAGCCCTTGCCTCGGGAACCCCCCCCCCTGTCTGATCCGCCCTTGCCTCGGCCTTGCCCCATTCTCCCATTTGTCCTCCGCCACATCCTTGTCTCTCTTGTTCAAGCTCTCTATGTGGCCCCTGCGCGTCGCCGACAATCATGGATCTAATGGCAAGCGCATGAGGACGATGGCATGCTGCAGCTCAGTACGAGGAGATAAGACAACTGGTTGGCCACCATTTGTTCCCTTTGGCCGGCACCTTGGACTCGGAGACTTCTGGAGCAGCACCTCTGACATGGACATCAAGATCATTTTGCGACCTGCTATCCGGATCAGACCTCATCATCAGATCATGTACCGGACACAACCAGCTACAGGGACAACCAAGTTGAAGCCCTCGCCATCTACATCACAGAACTGTTGAAGATTACTTCCTTGCCACCACTTCTGCGACACCCTCCAAGACCTTCCTCAATACTTTTTTTTTGGGGGGGCTTGAAACACTTTGTTACAGACCTGAGACGTTGTTATCTCAGACCCCTCAGACAACCCAGCACCTGAGCATTGAACAAACAATTTCTATTTTTATTTTTCTCAAACCTGACAACCTATAACCTTGTAGAACACCAATAGTGCGCTGGACTGGCCGAGCGCTCGCTCTAGCATTGGACGCCAAACTTGCACACCAAAAAGTGAGGCGGAGCTCCTCCCCAATATATACCGAGCAGCTGCCTCTTGGGTGGTGACTTTCCAGTCCCCTCTGCCTCCCAAGCATCCGGTACCTTCCTCCTTTTGGAGGGAAACATCATTGCAGGTGTGATATCGTCCAGTACAGGCCCTAGACTCAGACTACTGGACCGGTACTCCTAGACCTAAGCCTACCAGACTCCTAAAATTCACTCGGCCTCTATAGGTAATAACGTTTTGTCCTTCAATAGAAAACAGGTGACCAGATCCTGAGGTTGACAGAACTGACTGTATGGCAATCTACTCGGCTCATAATAACGAGACTGTCTATATGACAATCTACTGGGCTCACAATAATGATATGAGTGGGGACGCTGGACCTGCTCTCCCGAAGGCCCAGCTCCCCGCCAATAAGAGATACAAAGCAACTTCAGTCTTTCAGCATATTCCGTAAAGGTGGAGGTTGGTGGAAGGGGAGGGTAGCCTGCCTAGATGAATACAGGTTCAACCATAGTTCATAGCAAAGAGAAGAGACTACTTGCTGGGTGACTGGGTTCCCTTAGGAGTAGTAATGCAAAAAGGGTACACTAGCACTCAACCCAGGCTATCAGGTAGGCAAATGACTTGGGATGCAGATTTGCTCTGATTGTCAATTGTCCCTCGTTTATGGGTGGGTTCTGCAGCCTGCAGTGACGGTGCAGTCATCATGGTCACATGGCTATTCAATCAAATTATCGAACTGATATGATGTTCAGGGACGCTGGACCCGATTTCCAGCAGGTGCTGCTCCACACCAATAGATGGAGCCCCCGAGAGTGCTAGTGGTGCCTGCTCGTATCAGCACCCCACTGCAACCCACAAAGCCACGGCCACAGGTAAGTACCAGGCCCGAGGGCCTTCCAAGCATACAATTACCCTGGGGGGTCACACACGCACCCAAATCATGCACTTGGACAAACACACGGAACTCAGCAAGCACGCACACACACAGACTTAGAAATCTCTGCAGATAGCGGGAATCTCAGCAAGTCGCACATTCCTGCGGAAAAACTCAGAAGTCAGCAGAGTTCTCAGTCTGTGATTTTGCAGGTCATTACAGTTGCTTCTTCTTCTTTTTTTTTTTTTGTCAAGTCCTGCAGGGTCCGACTGCCAGAGATGATGTGAGCATCCTCGTGGAGAGGGAGTTTTCTCGAAGAGCTCAGATCAAATGGTGGGGGAGCACCACCTGCTGGGAAGCGGGTCCATCATCCCTTACAGTGCTTAAGCCACCAGTAAGTCTGCCAGTCATTTTTCTCCCACGTGGTGTGCATGTGGCTGCACGTTTCGGGGGTCAGACTACCGGCACAAAATGGCTGGCAGCGCCAGTCAAAAGAAGCCCCGTGCTGGTTCATTTTTCTTTGGTGTGCAGTGCGTTTCCAGGCTAGGCAATGGGAGTGTCAAGAGTACTGCTGGTTTAAACCACCAGTACCTTTCCCCACTTGAAATCTAAGATGCGCCGGGTAACGCAGTAGCCAAGCGAGGGAGGGCCACCGTTGATAAATCGAATCGGTGGCCCGCTTTTCATTTCGGGCCTCCGACACTACCCACGACCGACATATGGGAAAGGTACTGGTGGTTTAAATGTGGAATGTCTGTACCAGAGTACTTCCCCTCTCCCATAACCCTTCCTCCTGTGCTCAGTTACCCAGATCGTCATCACGTGAAATTTGAAACCACTACGTCTGAGTCATCATTTGACTTTTCGAATTGGCAAAAAGGACACTAAATGCAGTTTTGTGGCGGCTGCAGTGTCTGTATGTTTTTGAAGAAGAAAATTGAGGCCTTCTCTCAAGGAGATTGAAAAACGATATCAGGGGTACATCAATCGTGGGGCCCTGTGAGAATGAGGGCCCGAAATGTGTCCACATGGTTAACTGGCGGCGGCCTCACGAAAAGTACCGAGTAGTTATGTCTTCTGCCCAGGTATTGGGCGAATCCTCCCTGCAATATCCAGTATATAATTTGTGTCCTCGCTCTTCTCCGCATCTTAGCCTTTCGACTGCTCCTGCCTCGCAAGTACACCACCACGGCTTTTGCTTCGCCTTCGCCTCTCCTACCAAAACTGCCACTGTCTGTCTTTCCGCTGAATTCCAACTTCTCCGCTGCTATCTCTTTCATCTTTCATGCTGGAGCTGTCCGCCCAACCCGCTGCCTCCACCATCCTTTCTTCTTCTCACTCGCTTCACGGTTCTGCTGCTCAATAGTTGTTCATCCGTTGATTCCTGCACGGCTTCTCTGTCTCCCTGCCTACTCCTCTACATCACCAGTGCTCTTATATCCTGAAGTCTGCCTCAGCCTTTCCCACGGTCCTGCCACTCCGCTAACCACCCCATGCTGCAGGCTCGGTGCTCTGTGATGGAGATAGACAACACCTGTCTGAATCTGCTGCCCCTGCTTCCCGGCAGCCCAGGAAGAAGACAATGCTCCATGATCCTGCCAGACTTATGTCCTCAGAAGAAGCCTCCAGATCGGACCCAGTATCGGCAAATTATTGAATCCACGCACGAAGACAAGGGTCTCTCCTTCAACGGAGGTATCCTGCTGACTCCTCTCCGTCTCTGCCCAGTTTTCTATTTAAGTCTTAGACTAAGTGACTGTATCTCTAGTCATCTTGGTCCTTAGCGATACCCCTGATGATGCCCAGTTTTCTATTTAAGTCTAAGTGACTGTAGCTCTAGTCATCTTGGTCCTTAGCGATACCCCTGATGATGATTGGTCTATCGGTGCCATTCGGAGCATGTCGGGCTGCTGCCGATAAGCCTCCCTTCATGCGATCAAGGTGTCTGTTGGTGCTTTCGTGCCTAGGACGTCTGGCCACTGAGATGCGAGGTTCCTGTACTTCATGATGGTATTCAATACTATCGCTCGGGCTTCAAGACTATTGGTTGTGGTTACTGGCTCGTGCTACTCTATGGCTCTCACTTCCCTTTCTCTCTTCATTCTACCCACCATTTGCCTCCTCACTGTCTGAACTATGTTTTTCTCCTCTCCCTACACATCTCGTTTTTCCCCCCACCCTTCTCTCATTCTGCTCAGTAACTGCTCTTTGCTGATTTGGTGGATCGCTCACTTCCCTTTCTCCCTTGAAGTTCATTCTACCCACCCTTTGCCTCCTCACTGTCTGAACTATGTGTTTCTCGTCTCCCTATACACCTCGTTTTTCCTCCCATCTTTCTCTCATTTGGCCGAGTAACTGCTCTTTGCTGATTTGGTGGATCACTCACAATGGAATGGCATAAAGTTTTTCTCTGGTTCCTTGATGTTCTTATATTTTGGCTGTGTGCTTAGGAATTTTGCAGAAGTATTCTATGGAACTCCTCGTTATGCCATCGCTAAGTCCAGACAGGAGGATGAGAATCGATGTCTCAGAAACTCCAGACGTTACCCTCCTTGTTGATCTCTGGTTTCTTCTTCTTTTTTCCTTCCTTCCTTCTTCAATCCTCTTTATACCCTCACTACCATCAATGTGAGATGAGCTGTGCAACGTTCGTTGCTATGCTCTGACCATTTCCCGCAGTTTGGAATAAGCAAAAATAGCAAAAACTGCCAAAAAGTAGCTGTAACGTTTTTTTGCTGTTTTTAAACTCAGGCCCTCTGCACACCATGGCCCGGCTCCATAGTGACGACATAGGAGCCTATTAGAAAGTGCCGCGCGGCTCTTATTGCTTTTTCGAACTTGGTGTGTGAGTGACCTGCTAGTATGACGCTGGGCTCGGCTCCCAGCCGCTGTGATCTTAGCCGAAGCCGGGTAATGGCCCCGGTATTTTCCTGTTCTCATCCTCATCTGGGACGATGGACCCAGTTTCCAGCAGGTGATGCTCCCCACCAATAGCTGCCAAAGCTGCAACCAGGGGCTGCTCTTACCAGCCCCAGCGGCAGATGAGGCGGATGTTAGAACCAAAAAAAAAAAAAAAAAAAAAAGTGACCTGCTGGTACATGTCTCATTTTCGTTCGCCGCGTAGCTGGCTCATAAAATTTTATCCTACTTGTGATTCTTTGACGACCATGGTTTCTGCAGCAGTTCTTAGCTTCCACCCTCCATCTTGGTTATTGGCCAAGCTCCCTCGGTGGTATGTTGGCTCCCGCAGGCAGGCGTACGATGACCAGCTATAGAAAATTATTCGGAGTTTGAGAAAAGCCAAGAGTCAGGATGGGGAGTGGGGGGAGCAGGGCATTAAAGGAGGGAGAAATTCTAAGGGGAAGCCTCCGGGATTCCTCTGTTGCAGCGTATAGCTTCTTTTCATATTTTGCCTTCTTTTTGCAACTCGTTTGCTGTAGCTAACTCAATTGTTGTTGTATGTGTGTTCTTGCATGGAGCAGGATATTGCCCGATTCTTAATCAAGGTAGCTTTACAGCGTGCAGCGAAAAAGCAAAAGGTGACTTATCCGGAGATGGTGAAGACACCTCGTGGCTTGAGACGGGAGTTTCACGACGACATCACATGTATCGTCTTCTTCTTCAATCACTACTCGTCCCTGCAGCCACTCGCCACGAAAGCGCAATTTGGTCCGTATTGGCAGGCTATCCGCAATGTGAGCTGGCTTGGGCGAAGCAATTCTTCGGGACCTAGCATACATTCTGGGCAGCTGCCCATCTCAGAAGAGGAGTTAAGCTGTCCAGTTGCTTTTCAGACAACAGATTACATAGAGACCGTCGGATTAAGAAGTCACATGTTCACAGGAGGGGTTCTCGATACCCACCATGGAATAGAGCAGGGCGTCGTGAGCCCGAGCTTCTCGTTGACAGCTCCAACAGCCGGTTGCGTGATTCAGCAAAATGTATTCGGTAGCCACGTGGAGGCATGCTCTGTAGGAGGCGGAATTCCCACCACCCAGATGTTTATTAGGGGTCGATTTGGGGGAGCTGTTATTGGAGGGGGCGCAGGCAATGGGGTGCTTGGTGTTGGGGCCCCAGGTTTGGGCGTCGGACTTCCAGAGGGGGCAGGTATGGAAATGGCCATGGGCGTGGGTCCCGAGGCAGGTGGCCTGATGAGAAAGAATTCACGGTCTCAGCATGCATGTTTTGAAGGTTGTGAGAAGGTGGAGGACATCCAGGCTGACTCTAATCCGGTCAACCATGAAGATTGACCTTTGAGCTCAGATTGAGTTAGGCCGCAGAAATTTTGGGAGCAGATTGAATTGGCAGGAGAAATGCTGGGAAATGATCATGAGAAGGAGGAGGAGGAGGAGGAGGAGAATCAGGTCAAACATGAAATTGAGTGAACTGAAGCTACCAGTCAGTAGCAATAGTAAGAAGAGCAAGGAGACTTGCAGCAGTTCTCTGTGTAGGGGTGGCTACACTATGGGCCACACCCCGATGACGAAGTTGCGTGCCAACTCAGGATGAACCTGGTGAAGTGGCTAGACCAGATCATGGTAAGCTAGCACACAACAGCACCATAGTAGTGTTACCTATGGGTATATCTACATCGTTTTTCAACAAGTGATAATTGATCTTTCAAAATTTAAGATTTTAAACAAGCATTATCGTTTTAGCCTTCAGGACCTTCATGTACGCTTATTTTTTTTGTCTGTCTATGAAGTAACGGATTGGACCGTCCTCAGTGTAGGTAAAGAAAAACAAGAAAACCAGAACCAAGGCCACATTCACACTAGCTGTAGCTGTATTTGGCTACAACTATGTCCATGAACAACTTGCAAAGTCCAAGTGTGACTATGCTCCTAGGGTCTCCTTAGACTTATGTAGAGAACTCCTTGAAAACAGGTTTTGTGTCTTTAAACTGCGTCCTGATGACGAGTCAACTTGGAGTCTGGAAAGCAAATGTGAAAACATGTCTAGGACATGTCCTAGAGACTCCAGGACGAGACAACCATTTCTTCGGAATTGAACTCTCTGGAATCCTGTAGGACAAAAGTTGGCAGAGCAGCAATGGGATCTCTGAAACTCAACAGAAGCTGTATCGACTGAAGCACTTTTTTTTTTCGCTTTCTGTTTGTTTGTTTTTTCCGCTGATGTCAGTTCTTCCTAGCTGTGTGTGGTGTGCGGGAGAGTGGTGGCCATAGCCACTGCTGCTACTTGATGGGGGGTGGCCTGGGTGGGGGAAGTAGATGGGCGGCGCAGCTACTGGCAAAATGCTTGGTCTTCGAGTTAGCCGGCCCCCCCCACCGGCGGCCCCACCCTACTTCCTGACCACCTCCGCTTAGGGCGGGGAGCCAACATGCATTCTCTTACTTGTGAGAGGTAGCTATGCTTGCAGGGGTCCCCTGTATAGGCCTAGGAGCAGTGCTAGGTAGGTAGTTAAAGGTGAAATTGAGAGAAGAATATAGCTTAGTTTTTAAGCACACCAAAAAAAGGATGGGAAAAAATAATTCTTGCACTGTGGAATGAGAAGCCAGCTTAGGGCGAAGTAATCACCAAAATCCTTCAAGGACAGTCCTTGAGTTCTTAACATTTTTTTCTAGATGTGTCTAACCTCGAAGAGTCAAACAGCTCACTGAGGCTTACGTGTCAGTTCATCCACAGAATACTACAATCCAGTAACATTCTGTTAAACCGCGAGTTCACCTGAAGCAGAGTAAGGCTCTTACCGGCTTACATGGTAAGAGCTTTTCGATTCGGGCCCGGGCCCACAGGCCATTTTTAATAGGCGCAGTTGCAGGCTCACGAGCCTTGGAAGGTAGCTCTATCAGCATAGGCTCGTGTGAACTGGTGGCTTAATGACCGTAATCACAGGCCTAGCTAGACCCACTGGTACTCCCCCACAGTGTCCCCTTCAATGTTCTCCCTTTTTCCCCTTGGGGTGGATCCTTCAGGTTCAGAAGCAATGAAAAGTTGAAAACACGAAATTGCTGACGAGAAAATGAAGTAGATATGTGGATTTATGGTCAAAGCTATGTGAAATGGACACTGAGTTTCACTGACTGATTAGGGTTTTCCTTTTCCCCTTTTTTTTGGGGGGGGGGCTGGAGCGGTTTGCGGGGGCTGGTATTGACTGGCTTAATTGCTACTGCTTTAACAAACTCGTTAGCCATTCGATGATTGTTCATTTTCTATTCTCTCTCTCTCTCTCTCTCTCTCTCTCTCTCTCTCTCTCTCTCTCTCTCTCTCTCTCTCTCTCTCTCTCTCTCTC